ATGCCGTAGGGTAATGTCTAGTTTGATGAAAAGAAGGACTAGGGGTGACATGATAGCAGTGTTCCAGTATCTCAGGGGCTGCCACAAAGAAGAGGGAGTCAAGCTATTTTTCAAAGCACCTGAGGGTAAGACAAGAAGCAATGGGTGGAAACTAATCAAGGAGAGAAGCAACCTAGAACTAAGGAGAAATTTCCTGACAGAACAATTAATCAGTGGAACAACTTGCCTTCAGAAGTTATTAATTCTCCAATACTGGAAGGTTTAAAGAAGATATTAGATAACAATTTGTCTGAACCTGTGTAGGGTTTCCTGCCTAGGTAGGGGGTTGGACTAGAAGATCTCCAAGATCCCTTCCAACTGTTATCCTAAATTTGGTTCCTGATGTTTGATTCTAAATGTATGGGAGGGAATAGAGCAGAAATGAGATGAGAGAAAATAGGAAAAGAGTTCACCTAAGCTTGAAGGAGCATGGTGGTTCTTGTAATTAAGACATAAGCTCCCATCATTTGCTGCAGCTCCTTGATGGGAACATTAATAACCCCACCTCCTCCCCGCACTGGGAGATGGTGACATCACCAGCTAATCCTTTCAAACTGAAAGTGCCTTAAAATGTGCCTCCAACAGGAAGGTGAACCTAAGCTTGAGATTCAATCTGTTGACTATTTCAGATTAACTTTTATACTTGAGTCAAAGTATAGAGATCTGGAAAGTATGAACAGTAAAATTGATATAAAGGTTTAGTTGCTGTTAACACAAGTTGCAAACCATTAGCACATCTGTATGGGATGCTGCTAGACCCAGCACAGTCTGTGTAACATGCATGGCTATTTGATGAAGCAAAATTGAAGCAGGGGTCTTGCAACTTTCAGCACTTAGGACCTGTAAGTGTGTTCTTCCCCTCCAGCACCCTGATCTAAGTGGAAACATAGAAAATTGCTTTCCATACAATGCCTGCAAATTACATAATTTATCTCTTCCACATCTGCTATCCGTGAATGCAATAAAGGCAGAGATGAAAAGCCACTCAGTAGCCATTTCACAGAGGCTGCGGGCTCTTCTACATAGCAGCATTAAAGAGCTTTTATCTAGAGAGGTAGCCAGCGCTAAGAGATGTTGGCTAACCACACTCTGCTGGGAAGCAGAACAAAGGCTCTTTATAGATATTCTTTATTTAAAGATCCCTCCCCCTTTTTAAAAAATAATTTTATTTGAAATTATAATTTAATTTATAAATTATACAATATCTGGAAGCAGAATGCAGTAGTGCAGGCAGCTGTGTGAACTCCTAGAATCGGCTATGCCATACCTCTGCTCCATGAATTACATCTGTTGTCCGTTTGCTTCAAGGTTCAATTGAAAGCACTGATTTTAATCTTTAAAGCCTTTCATGGCATTAAATCAACTAATCATACAGAGTAGGCATCATTGGCCAAAATTCATTTGATGGGTCCCAAGAGATATGCCTTCTTTGTGCATCTTATGGAACATTCTTCCCTCCAAATTTACACTAGCTCCATCACTTTTGGTATCCTGAAAAGCCCTGAGGTCTTGGCTATGTTGTCAGGCCTGGGGTTCCCAAATGACAGGGACCAGCTAAGATGGCTCCATTGTTGAGTTGATCGTTTTTATCCTCTTCCTCCTAAGGTTTACATTTTCACTTTTATGTTATTTATTAATAAGGTTCCATATATTTTATCTATTAATATTTTATATATCTATTTTAACCTTAATCAAATAAACCAACTTTATATTCCTTCTTTTTACTTCTGACAGCTCTAATCTTTTGTCTATTCAAGTAATGTCCTAGAAATTGATTTCATTTCTTTTTTTAATCTCTTCTCACAAGACCAATCTCTTGTATAAATTTAAAGTAAATAATTATTCAGATCCTTCTCTTGGTTTATTATTTGTAATTCCTTTTTATTTTTAAAGTGTCAACCAATTTCTTTTGCATATCTAACAACCTTTTTCATGTCATTCTTGGAGTCTATCATCTACTTTCAGTCACAGCTCCTATTTCTTTCTGGTTAACACTTATTCCTCTTCTATCATTTCTTCTAAAACATCAATTGGATATAGTATATCCATAGAAGCGAACATCGCTATTGACATAGTTGATAATAATTTCTGATTCTATTTTTCAAAGGTACCGTATACTTCAGTGTTTTGAAAGTTCAGTATTTTGTATTTTATGTAATTCTGTAGCTGTTAATCAGATTTATGTATACTTCTTCTTTAGTTAAAAATAAACTAGCCTGGGATGAGTGGTTATAGAATTTGATCAAATCTGTACTTCCCTCTGGCTTCCAATTTCTAAGCTTGTTTATCTTTTTTATGTCTTAGGAAAAAAGTCAAAGCAAGTAAACTTTCCCATAGAAAGGTTCTTTATAACCAAGTCCAAAATCTTCTTTCAAATTCTCTCTCTCCCTCCCTCCCTCTCTTACAAAGTGCCCACCTCCCTCACAGAGAGAATCTTAATTTATCTGAACTCCCAACCTGTTTATAACTTTTTTATGATTAAACAAACAAAAAAAATCCATTAGTTTTTTTACATTCATTTTTAAGCCCTTCAGCTTGTAATTACATTTTTCTTTCATTGAGGCACATTCACCCAGTGTTTTCAGATTTGTTGATCCAAAGATTCTAATAACTGAGAAGTAGCTAATAGGCAGTTTCCAAATGTGTTTAGAAAAGAATTCAGTATCCTTTTAAAGGTGCCAAGTCCGGTTTAGAAAAATGGCTGTTCCTTTATCTCCAGTGCTCAAAATCTGCTGGAGACGACAGTTTTCTGGTCTCCTTGCAAGGAGTAACTTGCGGGTGATGTTCTGTCTTCTCCTTATCCAGAGAGAGGTTTAAAAAATCTGTTTACTCACTGGCTTTTTACTGCTGCCCCTTCTTTTTTATGGAGCTGTTTTCATTCTGCCATTTCTTCCTCTGGAAGAGTGTTTTTTCCGTTGTTTTCTTCTGCAACGTGATAGTGGATATTGGAAGCCCTATAAACCCAGATGGCTTGATTGCATGGCTTTTATTAATTTTGTAACCTTCTACATCAAAAAAGATGAGGCTGTTTTAATATGCCACACATTCGGAAGAGATTTTCCATCACTTCATTCTGCTTTTCAAGGCAATGAAAATGCTTTCTCCCTCTAATTCCACTATGCATACTTCAATCCTAGCCCAATTGTTCTTTTCCTATCAGAGCAGGAAGGGAAGAGTGTCCCTCCATTATTCAGCGTGAATATTTTAATCCAATTGTGTATTTATGTACTTATGTGAAGTCAGTCTGTTTAATTATGTATCCTGCTCATTCGTGCTCATCTGGCCACGCATAATATAAGAGAAAGTGTGAGGTCAGCTTTTGTGCAGATATAGGGAAACATGTTTTGGTATAAAGCTATTACATTTTATGTTATCATTTGTATTTTATTACATATATTGCAACTGGCTGTAATGAGAAGCATTGATTTGAACATAGTCATTTTAATGTGTGAGTGGAGAATAAATTTTTAAAGGGGTTGAAATGAGGCTGGGAAAATCCTACAGAGCATACAGAAATGACAGAAGCGAATGACAAGAGCGAGGCTGAAGCCAGGGATGAGATATGGTTAGGGCAAGACGATCAACAAGGCCAGGCAAAGAATATCAAGAAAGCTGGGAAAGCGATAGGAGGCAATGTTAACAAGGCCCCGTTTCACATATTATGGGAAATGCATGTCAAAACAGAGACAAAGGGAACATTCTCAGAAGAAAAAGACACGTTTCACAGAAATGTTGTGCAAAGCCTGTTGAAACAGACATCAGGGTCCTGTGCTTGTGATGACCAGTCTGTAGATAAGCAAAGGGACCACTCAGAAGTAACAGATCCTGCATGAACATGTAATGAACATTATGCATTCAGAGAGGAGATTCCTTTGAGAAGGCTCTAGGACAGTGATGGCTATCGTCATCGCACACCGAAAGCATGTGCCCGTGCCTGCACCCATAATGCCTGTGTGACACCCACCTGCGTGTCCCACCCCTGCACATGCACACATGCTCCCCATACTCTCCCTCCCCCCTGTGCATGTGACCCCCCTGCACCCCATTTTGGACCTAGTAGGCCTCCCTGCAGCCTCCTGGGACCAAACTTGGCCATGGGGGCGTGCCACATCCCCATGCATGTCCCCGCACATGCCCACACGTCTCTTGCATGCAACCCTATCTGTGTATGTGCGGCAGAGACCCAAAAACCAGCTGGGCCAGTTTTTTGTGCTCCAGAGGCTTCAGGGGAGCTCCTGAAGCCTCCAGAGGGCCTCGGGAGGGGGGGGGGGGCTCTTTTCGCCCTCCCCAGGCTCCTATAAAGCCTCTGGATCCTAGGGAGGGCAAAAATGGCTTTAAAAAGGCTGAACTCAGCTGACAGGGCAATGCCTCGCATGCCCTGAAAAATGGCTCTACGTGCCACCTGTGGCACGTGTGCCATAGATTCGCCATCCCAGATATAGGTAGTCTTTGACTTAAAGCCATTCATTTAGTGATAGTTCAAATTACAAAGTAACCAGAAAAAGGGACTTATGATCATTTTTCACACTTACAAACCTTATATCCCCGGGGGCATCTAATCCAAATTCAAGTGCTTGGAAATTGGCACATGTTTGATGGTTGCAATGTCCCAGGGACATATGATCACCTTTGGCAACCTTCTGAGAAACAACATCTATGGGGAAGCCAGAGTCACTTTACAACAGTGATACTAGCCTATCATCTGCAGTGATTTACTTAACAACTGTGGCAAGAAAATTCATAAAATGGGGTAAAACTCACTTAATAACTGTCTTGTTTAGCAATAGCAATTTTGGGCTCAATTGTGGTCATAAGTAGAGGGCAACCTGTATTTCTATGACTCCTACACTGCAGACTTGATTGTTTTGCTCTGTTTGTGGCATAAAATGAACTAAATTGAATGCAATGTTGTTGCTGTTCCTGGGTATTCATACATTCTTTTTGTTCTCTGATGCTTGCAGAAATTCGTATCCAGTTGGTGGAGCAGTTCAAATGCCTAGAACAACAGTCTGAATCCCGATTGCAACTTTTGCAAGATCTTCAGGAGTTTTTCCGCAGAAAGGCTGAGATTGAGCTGGAATATTCCAGGAATCTGGAAAAATTAGCAGAAAGATTTTCTTCCAAGATTCGTAGCTCCAGAGAACACCATCAGTTCAAGTAAGTGGATAGTGCATTTACTGATTTTGGCTTTCCCAGAGGATCGCTTAAGAATGTGCCCTTGGTTGCTATCTCTACATGACAGACTCTTTTATAATATTGCTGGGCATAGAAATGGGAGATTGAACAAAAGAAATTTCAACAATTGATGAAGCTTCTCAGAATATTGGAATGTCTGTATAGCTGGGTAAAAGAAATAAAGGTTAAGGTCCAGTCATTGGTGTTGTTGTTTTGTGATGTCTTCAACAGGACGAAGTAAGGAAACATGGTTGTATTTGATGAAGGATATGTTAGATACTTTATGGGGATATGGTTTGCACAAATTAATCTTACATAATTATTTTTATTAATGTAATTCCTCATAAGGGACGCAGTGGCTCAGTGGCTAAGATGATGAGCTTGTCAATCAGAAAAGTCAGTAATTTGGTGGTTCGAATCCCTAGCGCCGTGCACTCCCATTCCTTGTCCCAGCTTCTGCCAACCTAGCAGTTTGAAAGCATGTAAAAAAATGCAAGTAGAAAAATAGAAACCACCTTTGGTGGGAAGGTAACAGCATTGCGTGCACCTTCAGCATTTAGTCATACTGGCCATATGACCAGTATGTCTTTGGACAGCTCTGGCTCTTTGGCTTTGAAACAGAGATGAGCGCTGTGCCCCCTAGAGTCAGGAACAACTAGCATATATGTGCGAGGGGAACCTTTACCTTTATCTTAATCCCTTCAGTGAAATTTCTCAGTGGATGTTCTGAATGTATGTTTATATTAACTGGCATAATATTTATTGCAGATGTCTTTATTTTCCAAAGTTGTTTTGTCTTACAGAATCTAGACAGTAATATCCAGGAATGTAAATAGACACTTTTATCTTCCTTTTCATTAGTATTTCAGGATTCTTTTATTAGGTATTCCCTTTGACTTCCAGTTTTAATCTGATGTCTGCTTTGGAAAAGTGTGACTGATATTTTTTTAGTGTGTATCATTTTCTGATGTTATCTTTAAGATTCTGAACTCCAAATGAACTCTAAATGTCCATGTTATAAGAAAAAATAAATTCATACTGTGGATTCTTTTGCAGCTCACTAGTTGAAGTTTTATGTTTCCTTTCCAGCAGTCTTCCTAAAATGCAATTATTGGTTATTTGCTGATCCAAACCATCTTGTACTTCAATGACACCCACCTCAAGTTTCAAACCTTCAACTATGCGATGTTTGGGAAAAAGTCCTTAACTCTGTTTTATTCAACTTTGCTCTGAATGTGTTTGTGTTACATTTTTATTGAAATCTCATTCATTCTCTATTGTTCATTTCGTTGGTACTCTGATAACAGAATAACAGAGTTGGAAGAGACATTAGAGATCTTCTAGTCTAGCTTCCTGCTGAAAAGATGCCTTTTTGGAATGGTTAGTTGATGATACAACCTTGCTTATTCCAAATTTAATTGGCCCCAAGTCTCTTTTGAACAGTAGTGCAATGCTAAAATATATAAGCGAAATCAGCATGTCATTATTTATGAAATGTATACTTCTTAGCTAACATCACTTATCTTTTTGGTAAGTCCAGCCTTCTACACAATGGAGGCTGTGTGGCACCATCCCCAAAGCAGCTGCCATTTTGGGAGCAACCACATTGAATTGTGACTGTTCCAAAATGGTGCTTGCTTCCGGGATAGCACCACATAGCCTCCACTTTACAAGCAGGCTGAGAGGTGTACTGGCTGCTTCCCGAAGGAGATTTACTGATTTACTGAGCTGTGACAGAGATGGAGAGGAGGATGCGGGAGCCAGGAGATGGGAAGCAACACAAGGTCTGAAGAGACTCATGGGAAGGTGATAGGTAGATGGGATTCTATGGCATTCCTGAAGTCAGTTGGAAGGATAGGTGGAATTCCAAGCACCTAAATTTTGTTCATGTGATTATGGGGGTACTGCAATGGCCATAACTTTGGGCAGGGATAAGTTCCTTTGTTCAATGCCATTGTAAGCTCAAATGGTCATTGAGCAAACAGTTGTAAGTTAAGGACTATCTGCACTGTAGTTTTTACTTATGCTAAATATTAGCTTCTTATGTAAGGAAAGACTATATAGCTGTGATGCCAAGGATGGTTGCAATTTTATAAATAATTCAGTGCTGCATAAAGTGATAATAATTACAGTTGTGTTGAGATTGGTATATGTGAATGTGAAAACTAATATAGTCTGGATGGAAGTAATAAATCATGTTATTTAAAAAAAATATTTCTGAATCTCAGGGATTTTACGATGTGTAAGTTTCAACTCCCAGAATTCCCCAGCTGGCTGTGTCCCTGCTGGCACACATTTTCAAGTTGCTAAGGATAAAAAAAAATACTGCCATACTGCAAAAGAGCTATTCAAATGATTGAAATTTTGCCCTTTCTCTAGGCAGACATATTTTCCATTTCCAGTAGGTAGCAACAGATACAAGCTTTCAGAAAGAGGGCAGAATAAAGCATTTTTATGCCTTGCTTGTTTGTTGACTAATGAGAATAATGTTTGTTGACTTCCGGGCAATTGTTAGAGGGTAATGAGGAAACTGGATACTGGAAAATATAAGTAAAGAATCGGCAGTTTCCATAATGCATTTTCCCTGCTCCTGAGTACTTCTTTGCACACTTTGGAGCCTAGCAAGATTACACTGCTGAAAACTGAAGAACAATAACAATGTAATGGAAGTAATGTGGTGCTTGGTTGGATGTGGCCTCCACCCACTCTTTTTCTGTGCCTCCTGGAGTCTTCCAAGGTCATGTTCTTGAAATCTGGCTACAAATTGCCAAATAATGGTAGTATGATGCAAGAGAGGTGGTGTCTGGTTTGGGGCATTATAAACAGATGAAACTGTTGTTTGATTAAGCCAAAAAGATCAAGAAGAAGAAAAAACCCAGAAAGACAAAAAACTTGGAGGCACATGTTTTTTCTTCCAAGAAATGACATCTGCTGATATAGTAAACATATTAATAAAAGAGAATGTCTGTAATTCAGTGTGAAACTGTGAGGTCCTTGTTGCTCTCCAAGCTTGGTTGTTTGCTTGTAGATATTTGGTTAACTGACTAGATAACATCATCAGTTAAGTGAATCTGTTAAGCCTTCAATCATGAAGATGATGAATAAGGGATCCAAGTCTGAAAAATCCAGATGTTTACCTATTCCTGGGATAAGCGTGACAAGGTCACTCCAAACAGACCATTTTGTTTACAGGAGGCATCAAGGAGCAATTGTGTCCAATTGGGCTCTTTGCAGTATTTTAGTGCAATGCAGATCCTTAGAGGAAAACTGTCAATTTGGAATCATAGCAATGCCAAGAATAAAACAATGAAGATGGCTGCAGGATGGAACACTGACAGAAAAGTATGTGAGTGGAATTAATCTGGAGATGGATTTGATTTCACTAGCTCAATACATTATTGAGCTTAATAATAAAGGGGAGGTTATTTTCTGCTTACGGTAATCAAAAAAAAGGATAATGATTGGCAACTTCTTCATCTGGGTTATCCTTAATTTGTTTTCTTGGTCAAAATTAAGATTTAGATATAACTTAAGAAGGGCATATTATTAAAATTTTAGCTTGTCTTTTTATTTAACTATCAACAGCCAAAATATCTGCTTCCTATTTTCTCTACAAATATAATAACCCTGTGAAGTGAATTGTGCTGAGAGGCCCAAAGTTACCCAGTCAGCTTTTGTGCCTAAGGTGGGACTAGAACTCACAGTCTCCTGATTTCTAGCCAGCACTTTCTCCAGTAGTCCAAACTGGCACTTAGCCAATACCTTACTTTTAAATGCAATATTCTAACTGGCTTAGTAATATTCAGAATCTATACACAATTGATATATGATATACAGTATATCTATACAAATATTAGAAAAGAAACAAAGAAAATGAGGAAATATAGTTAAGTAAAAAAATAGAGAAAAAAAGATTATGAAGTATTTCTGATCATTTTGTGAATTGTTATAAATGCATTTATATTTTACCCTCCTTTTCCAAGATTACATTATAATTTCTTTCTCCCCCATAAGCTACCCCTTTAATCTTAAATCAGAAGTTTATCTCCCCTCTCTCCCGAAAAATGTCCCTAAAGGTTTCCAGTCACTGATAAATGTAGTCATTCATCTTTATCTAATCAAGCAAGTTAATTTTGTCATCTGTGCTAGTTCAGTTGTTTTTACCAACTATTCCTTCATTGAAGGTATTTCACAATCTTTCCATTTCTGTGCATATATCACTCTTGCAACAGTAAAGCTAAAGGAGTCCCTGCGGATTTTATTTTGGTAGTCGTTGCTGACCATAAGGAGCAGTGCTCATCTCCATTTCAAGGTCATTGAGCCAGCACTGTACGAAGTCATTTCAATGGTCATGTGACCAGCATGACATCACGGAGCACTGTTTCCATGCCACCTTAGTGGTACCTAGTTATCTACTTGCATTTGCATGCTTTTGAACTGCTAGGTTGGCAGAAAGATGTATGGGTCTTAGGATTCGAACCTGGGCTGCCAGCTTTCTAACAAGTAGGCCAGAATATTAACTGCTGAGCCCCCCCTCCCCTGTCCCAACTTGCAATAGTAATCATATATACAAATAATCTTCCTCGGCTCTTTTCAAATTGATTGTCCATTAATTCGAGCAAGAAAAGTTTTGGTTTCCGTTAAATGTTTATCTTTAAAATTCTTTATATTATTCTAAGTACTTGAATCCTTTCTAGCGTTTTTATAAGTCCATCAGGCATGACGAAATGAGCATTCATGCTGTCCATATTTTCAGCATAAATCATAAGTCCCTTTATATGTTCTAGAACATTTGTCTGTAACCATGTAACAACAGGACATCATTTTATAAAAACTCTTTTTAAGTAATAACACAACACAAATTTCAGTGCTTTTAACCACATGAGCTATAAGCCTTTTCTGATGAGCTGCTGCTGCTTTTATTGTTATTATTACTGCTACTACTATAATTGAAATATAGATAAAATCTGGTCAAATTCCCA